AACATATCGTTTTGCATTGTGGCCAAAAAGTTTGATTTTGGTTTCATCTGACCAGAGCACCTTCTTCCACATGTTTGGTATGTCTCCCAGGTGGCTTGTGGCAAACTTTAAACGAGACTTTTTATGGATATCTTTGAGAAATGGCTTTCTTCTTGCCACTCTTCCATAAAGGCCAGATTTGTGCAGTGCACGACTGATTGTTGTCCTATGGACAGACTCTCCCACCTCAGCTGTAGTTATCTGCAGTTCATCCAGAGTGATCATGGGCCTCTTGGCTGCATCTCTGATCAGTCTTCTCCTTGTTTGAGATGAAAGTTTGGAGGGAAGGCCGGGTCTTGGTAGATTTGCAGTGGTCTGATACTCCTTCCATTTCAATATAATTGCTTGCACAGTGCTCCTTGAGATGTTTAAAGCTTGGGAAATCTTTTTGTATCCAAATACGGCTTTAAACTTCTCCACAACAGTATCTCGGACCTGCCTGGTGTGTTCCTTTGTCTCCATGGTTCTCTCTGCGCTTTAAACAGAACCCTGAGACCATCAAAGAGCAGGTGCATTTATACGGAGACTTGATTACACACAGGTGCATTCTATTTATCATCATCAGTCATTTAGGACAACATTGGATCATTCAAAGATCCTCACTGAACTTCTGGAGTGAGTTTGCTGCACTGAAAGTAAAGGGGCCGAATAATATTGCACGCCCCACTTTTCAGTTTTTTATTTGTTAAAAAGTTTTAATTATCCAATAAATTTCGTTCCACTTCACGATTGTGTCCCACTTGTTGATTCATGACAAAAAACATTTTTTTTTATATCTTTATGTTTGAAGCCTGAAATGTGGCAAAATGTTGAAAGGTTCAAGGGGGCCGAATACTTTCGCAAGGCACTGTATACTGTTTGACAGTGCTCCTCAACTCTCAGCCTTTCACCAGACTGCCAAGGAAAGAATACTTTAGTTTGATAAATGACCGGATCTCTCCAAATGTCTCGGCACTTGACAGACGCGTGGAGCCAGCATTTAAACAAGACCGCGTTCAGACAGCAGCACCCTACACAGAGGCTCTACTGAGTATAGAGAGTATACTTGACACTTACCATGGATCTATTATAATATCGTCACACCACGTTTTACGAACGCGGTGTGAAGAGAAGAGACACATGGAGGAATAAAGTCTGTGTGAGGTTAAAACTGTGGTGATCAAAGAAGCAGGAGATATACACAGCAGCAGCAGGACATGGCAAAGCTCATGTTAGCATTAGCGTTAGCCACATCGCCCAATCTGCATCACCAGGTAAGAAAAACAGAACATTCACTCTCGCTGCTGATACATTATTCTGGCGATCGTTTTGTGGGGATTCTGTGTGTTTTATTTGATGCTTGTCCCTGAATAAGTTTAGTGGAAACTTGTGACATAGTAGTTGGACTGCGCTTGGATCGGGTCAGAACATCCTGAGACTGTGTTGCAGATTCTGTCTCGTACTTATTGTCAGTGTGAAAAAGTTACGTATTGTTCACGTGTGAGTCTGTTGTGTACAAAATACACGATGTACCTCCTGTTAACGCTGTCTTTGTGCGTGTGGTTAGACAAAAATCTCTATTGTTGGGCACATTTTTATTGCATACCGCTAATACCGTTTATATCGGCCAGGCCTAATGTATTTATTTATTTTGCGTTACGCAAAGACACACACTTGCAACAAGCAGAGAATGGTCCGCGCTGGGTACATTATGACCCCGCTCACAGCGTTATTCTCAAGGAGCCGCTGTCATTACAAAGCGGCCGGAGTGGCTCTGGAGTCAGAACACTCCTGCCACGGAGGATTTGGAATCCCGTTCGAGTACGTACAGCAAACACCAGCAAGTGCCCCGCGATCACGCACACCCTCTCTGGCATTGCACCACGCCCCCCTAGGGAGGAGCGCCCCGCTATTTGAGAAGGACTGGTCTATGTGAAGTACGTGAAGGTGCCTACTAACTCAAGAGATAGTATGCATATCTGATATTTGTCGCGCATGCGTACCTGCGTACCACTTATGTGCACCCCTGATTATAACAGCAGTTACAGAAAAAAAAAATTAAGTACGCTAAGAAGTAATTAAAGTGGCAAGAAAACGGGGAGCGATGCAACTCCGAAGCTGGCTCCTGCCCGCACATGGTGATCGGTGCACTCGGGCCAGTGACCCCGAAGCTGGAAGGGTGGTTACAGCGAATCCCTGGAACAACCTCGGAAATCTCGGTCCAGAAATGTGCAGTGCTAGGAACAGCAAAGATACTGTACAGAACCTTCAAGCTCCCTGGCCTCTGGTAGAAGACTCAAGCTTAGAGAGGGATGAACGCCCGCGTAGGGCAAAAGGTGGGAACTTATAATATAACAAAAAGTCTGTAATGTCTGCATTATTAGGATTCTGACTGTAGTCTGATCATGGCTATTCACCAGTTGTCCCATTGTCTGTTTCGTGGTGCGATGTTAAGACCTCTGAACCTGGCCTCCTCCATCTACACCTGCGGACTGCCTCCTACGCATTAAGGCTAACACTATGGTGACAAAAGCACTCACAACCAGTCCACTCCTGATATACAGTCTATGCCTAGAACATGCTGAAAAAACAGTGTTCCAAGATCCTGTTAAAAGGACAGTTGCAAATGTTGGTCACTGGAAAAAATGATTGATTCACAACAACAATAGCTTTGCCTTTAAAGATCGGAACGTGACACACCCAGAATTGTGACAAACAAAAAACACCACATGATACCAGGACAGTTACAAGAGCCTTGTCCATGACTGTAAAAACAGAGATTTGCGAAGCAAAAACTACTGACATGGATTTTAGAACATCGTTCTATGGTGGATTGAAAGTTTCATATTCCAGATTTAAAGAAGCTACACCCGATTTTTTTCTAATGAGTTCAGAAAAATGCTTATTACTACATACAAGTTGTATTATAATCCATAATTTCATTGAAAACTTGAGCTCATTGATTCAGCTTGAATGAATTCCAGAAAAAGTGCCGAGTAGAGGCTTGGCGTGACGGCCGCTCTCCTTCACTCAGGGCTTTGACTTCGAAATTCGATATTCGAATATAATTAGAAAATTAAAAAATATATAAATATTTGAACAAATATTAGACCGCCTTAAATATTCGAAATGCATTGACTGCAAATAAAGTAGTTAGCTCCCAAAGGTGTCACTGTGACATGCTAGGCGGGTAAGCTAGCTAGTTCTAAAACTCTCTGGAACTAGAGCTGGGCGAAATGGCAAAAAAGTTAAATCTCAATTTTATTTCCTGCTTTGAACGATTTTGATTTTTATTAAAGCCACCGAAGACTGACTTTGCCCTTAAAAATATGTTTTGATCTTTCCGCAAAATTCAAGTTTCAAAACTATTTCTAATTTATTTCCCTCAATACGTATTATAAAAGTCTTGTACAAACTGTGCTGATATTGCAAATACGATTAATGTGCTGCTGGAACTCTCAAAATATCCTTCATTCGATTTCACGATTTTAACACTTTTCACAAATTCGAGTTTTTCAAAAGCCGATTAATTGCCAAAATTAGATTTATTGCCCAGCCCTATCTGGAACTACATGAAAACTGAACAAAGATTTCTGAACATCAGCGGTGAGTAAGTACTGCTAAGAAGTACAGATGATAGGTGAGAAACCTTCCTTTGCTTTCACTAAACCCTGTACGACTGAGAGCTTACACAAACTTGTCTCAGTACTGGTTTAACCCTCGTTTGGTACTCGTTTAATCCTGGTTTAGTTCTTGTTTTGCCTGTTTTTTTGTGTCTTTTACTTCTTGCTCTGACCGGCATTTTGTCCTTGTGACCACTTTACCTCTCTCTCCTGGTTGCCGCTAACCTTGCCTGCAAGCTGAATTCTCGGGGTATTTGTGAGTTCACAAACACTCGAGAATACATCTTGCCCCGCTCCCGCCAACCCTTTTCGAGTAGAACATCTAGGTGTTCAAGCTAATCACGCGCCAGTCTGGGGGTTTAGGGCGGGATATGCGGGTTTGACGAAAGCAAGAAGTGCCCGGCCGAAGCAAAACAAACATGGCTATGCAGGAGGACGGACGCGTAGCTGAGGCTATCAAGTCAGTTTTAACAGAATCTCCAATTTCTTTTTTGAAAGATGAACAGCGAGAGGCGCTTTGTGCATTTCTGGACGGCAAAGATGTTACCGGGATTGGTTTAAGTGAAATCTTGGTAGGCGGGCACACAGCGTCACTTCGCCCAATCAGCTTGAAGTATTCTGCTGCTTATCCCTCCTTTCCCCGAAAGGATTCTCCTGCAGATGTCCCAGATTGATATTGTGGAGAACGCATTAGAGTTCTACACAATCATCAATCTGGCTCTTGCCAGGTTAGGTTGCTGCATGTACATCCGAAAAAATAAAAAATTCAATCTCTTGCGTTCGCACGCAAACGCGCATGGTAATATTTGCACGGACATGTGTCACCATTGACTTTGTATTGAAACTCAAAAGGTCCGGTTTGAATGCCACTTTAGACAAAAGGAGAACTTGTTGATATTAGTGTGAATAGAGTTAAACACAATCGCAGGTTTGTGCCTGATGAGGAAAAGTGTTACAAAATTGAGAAAAAACAGCAAACCATTTCCCGTCTTACTTGAAAAGAAGGAAACCGTGATTTCAAGTTTCAAAATGCTCTCGTCTATAACTACTTCATGCAAATTTTTAAACTCTCTGACTCTACAGTTGTCATGAGGCATTTAAAACTAGATTTCTCCACCAGAAGGAGTAGAATTTGTTTTTTTATTTTCCAAGTTTTTCAACTTCCAAAACTACTTTATGGACACTACTTTTGTAAAACAGAAAACAACTGAGTGTGATGTCATAATGGTACAATAGACAGGCTTTTAGACAGAAGGGCTGGAGTGACATGTTTGTGCCAGAAGTTCCTGATATAAACGTGGAAAGATCTAAAAACAGAATTTGTCTCCCTTGTTATTGTTAAAACGTTCGCACACTCACCCACGGCGGCAGCTGTGTCGTAGCTGCACTGCGCTGCGTCACTGACTCCTTGTGCTCCAGGAAGCGGAGTGCGCGGTTGATGCGGTTGTCCTGCTTGCTGTGGTTCCTCTTCCAGTAGAAGAGCGCGGCAAGTCCCACGAGAACCCAACTGAAGCTGAACTCAAAATAGCCTAGCACATAGATGGGCAGCATCATCAGGAAGGTCTTGCCAAACTTCAGCCACAACTGCGACACGTCTGTAAGTGAGGCGAGCGGGTCTGGTTCTTCAGGGAGGGGGGGGCCATGGCTGGGGTATGAGATGGGCGAGCTGTTGAGTGTTGGTCCACTCAAAGAGGCATCCATTTTGGAGGTTGTACTCATATCCTGGGCTCCTGTAAAACATATTTAGATCTCAATATTAATATAATAGTGTTTATCATCATAATATTCAGGACATGTAAACTTGCATTGCAGCCCGCGATGAGAAACAACCAATCTTAAGCTTCCTTCCCACTGCTCCCTATTCTCACTCACTGAGTGATATGGGCTGATTTGTCTTGCATAACGACAGCGTAACAAGGCGTGGATCTGTGTTAGGGTGGGTGAAGCTCTTACCATCAGAGTTTGGGTTGTTGCACTTACTGCTCTTTCTATGAGATACTTTATTGATCCCCTTGGTATTGATATCTGGTACTGACTGGGTACTCGTGCCCTGCCTTCGGTTATAAGCTTTGCTGACACAGGTCCAAACAGCATGCCAAAATGTCTTACTGTTGTCCAGGGTTTGACACATTATTCAAGATGGATTAAAAACACAGATTATTATGTCAAGTGACAATATGATAGGGTATTGAGAGTAGAATGACAGGTAAACAATTATATTTTGATACAATTTGTGATAAGCGTAGGAGGACTGGAATGCAGCTTTGTGTTTTCTGAAAATTCTAAATTGTGATTTGCACTTAGAGCAGCAGAGGGGTTTGTTGAGCATGAATCATGTCTAAATCAGTAAAACTGAATAGGCCTGCTGCAGTCTATCAACTCTCCAAACATATTTTCAAACGCGTGACATTCTTGTTCATCTCTTTAGATTTCAGTTGTTAAGCAAAACAAATGTTCAAAATCTTTTTTGCGAATCTTCCATCATCTTCAACCATGTATAAAACATGAAATCCCCCAATATTCTAACAGTTTCCAGATTTCACTGATCAACTGGAGTTGCTCAAAACATCTGAACAATTTGGATTAGTCATGCTTTTGAGCATGACTAATCCAGACACACAAGGGCTGGTGCTATGAGACTTGGGTGGCATCTCTGATTGCCACCCCCCTGACCCAGAAATGGATTAAAGGGTAGAAAATGGATGGATGGATGCTTTTGAGCCGAGGGCAGGACACACCACTATTTACAAGCAGTTTTCACAGGACAAATTCCTTTTGAACAACAAGACAAAACGTGTTTCCCTATGTAGATACAGTCAAGGGCAGATGAGGCCAGGCAAGTATGCCTTGTCTGGCCTCATAATAGTTTGACATCACTGTAACTTTGTTGGGTATTAATTCAGACATTCAAGAGTGTTAATGTTTATGTATTTTTAAGCAGGTATGGCGTGACGTTTCGCCAAGGAGACACCATCACGTATAGCGCTGACGTCGCTCAGTCCAGAAAGTAGCATCAAACCACAACAACAAACTCACCGAAATCCGTACTGGTTAAAAACAGACCGAAATTCAGCGGAAAATCCCGCTGCTGGCCATGACTTCGATTTGGAATTCACTTCGGGTGCTTTGACGTCTTTCCCCGATGCTTCCGTGGAGGCAGAAGCCGGGGCGGGAGCAGTGCGAAGAGCTGCTTAGGCGGAAGTGGTCATAATCCGGGGAGAGGCCAGTGACGTGGCCGCGGAGGAAGATCAACTCGAACTGCGATTGTGGAGAAGGGGAATTCCGCGTTCCTGTGTGTAGATGAGGAATTGCAGGTGACAGAAGCAGGTCAGAAGACAACATGGATCTATAATATAAGACTGTTGTTTTATTGCCCATTAAACATATTAATACAAGTAAGGTAAATTAATTTTGACTTTTGAATATACGTGAGCAGTGAGCAAAATTAATATATACAGTCTATGGTCCAAATGCAGGGACACTTAGTGTTACATATTTGTAGGAAAAGTGCTTTATGGACACTACGTACAAGGTGGTGATAAACTACTACTGTAGCCACAGCTGCCCTGGGGCACACTGACAGAAGAAGGGCAACCAGTATGTGCCATCAGCCCCTCCAACCACCACCAACCATTCACACACACCAGACTCATTCTAAGCAATGGGGGTGAATTAATAGTTACTTAATGTAACTTAAGTTCTACGAATAGGTGCGTAGTCCCTTAGGACTTCGCTAGTGGGATATCACTCGTGACCCCCAGGTCACACGCCAGAGAGATCAAAATAATTTGCTCCAATCACCAGCCACCTTCCTCTATAAATGCCCCTGCACAAGGCCGCACCCCCTCTTGAACTCTGCCAAGCCGGGCTGGTCTGATGGGCTCGTAGCTAAGGGACTACGCACCTATTCGTAGAACTTAAGTTACATTAAGTAACTATTAATTCTGCGTCATGGTGCTACGTCCCTTAGGACTTTGCTAGTGGGACACAACGCGGAGGCCGTAGGAAAATGTACTCCCAGCAGGCCAGCGAAGGGTGATTGGAGCTCCGCCCGAGCAAGACCCTCACAACGTGAGAGGACTCAGGGCAGAAGAAACAAGCGTGTTACGGGGCCACTCCTACCAAGGATACCCCAACGTAACACAAGCCGTAGGTCATCCGTAGTCACAGGACGCCTCTCCCAAGAGCTCCTGACGTGGACTACCAGACCGACCAAACACACAAAAATGTACCGCACCTGTAGGATGCCTCTCCCAAGAGCTCCTGCACCAGGGTGGAAATAAACCGAAGGCCCCCTCAGGGGAGGGACCCAACGGTCTAACTCAGTCCGCTGCACTCAGCACGGAATGGGCCACCGACCGGTCCGACACATCCGAAAGATAAGACCGGACGAAAGAGGAGGACGACGCCCAAGAAGCCGCACGGCAGACGTCCTCGACCGACGCCCCCCTGAGAAGGGCCGTAGAGGCCGCCATCCCACGCGTGGAATGCGACCTGAAACCCACCGGGGGGGCCAGACCCTGCGATTGATACGCCCGCCGCACAGCCGTGGCGACCCAATGCGCCAGCCGCTGAGCCGACAGCGGGGCGCCCCTGTTCTTGGGGCCCAGACACACAAACAGCTGACCACCCAACCTGAATGACGAAGTCATGGCCAGGTAATGCCTCAGCATTCTGACAGGACACAGAAGGTGCTGCCGCTCCTCCTCGGGGGAGGCATGCGGCGGCGGATGGAAAGCCCTAATCCTGATGACTCTCAACCTAAAGGCCGACGTGATGACCTTGGGGAGAAAAGCCGGATTGGGCCACAATTCCACCATGCCATCGTCCTCTCCAAAGGACAGGCAAGACGCATGGACGGAGAGCGCACACAAATCGCCCGCCCTCTTAGCAGACGCCAACGCCAGCAAGAGGGCCGTCTTAAAGGCGATACACTCGGGACTTGCCTCCGCCGCCGGTTCAAAAGGCGGACCCGACAGCCCCCTAAGGACCACCCTGAGGTCCCAAATCGGAGGCGTTCTCTGGAGCGGGGGCCTCCTCCTGCGCGCCCCCCGCAGAAAACGTTTAACCAACGGATGAGAACGGGCTGTGAACCCCCCGAATCCGTCGTGACCCGAAGTAATGGCTGCCGCGAACACCGCCAAGGTAGCGACAGCCCTCCCCTTGTCGAAGAGCTCCTGTAGGAATCCCAGGACCCCCTCCAGCGGGCAACGCCTGGGGTCCCAGGAACGAGAACTGCACCAGTCGCTGAAGAGCCTCCACCTCGTGGCGTAGGCCCTCACAGTGGACGGCGCCCTCGCTCCCTGAATGGTCTCCACCACCGCAGGGGGAAGACCCAGGTCTACGAGGTTCCGCCTCTCAGCCTCCAAACCCAGAGCCTGCGGCCGATTATCGGGCGTGAAAACAGGGCTCCCCCCCCCTGGACTAGAGCCCCGGATCGTCCGGGAGGGTCCAGGGCTCCATCACCGCCATGCCCCTCAGGAAGGGGAACCACCGGGCATGCGGACTGTCCGGAGCCACCAGGATCACCGACCTCCTCTCCTGTTCGATCCTCCGCAGCAGGACCGGCAGGAGACGCACCGGTGGGAAAGCGTACAGCAGGCCGCCTGGCCAGGGGTAATGAGCCAGAGCGTCCACGCCTAAGGGCGGCTCGTCCGCGGCCCTTAAGGCGAACCAGGACGGGCACTGTGCGTTCTCTGCACTGGCGAAAAGGTCGACCGCTGGACGGCCGAACCTCCGCCAGATCTCCGCAGCTACCCGCGGGGCCAGGCCCCACTCGTCCTGGAGCGGGCCCCCCCTGGACATCCTGTCGGCCCCCACGTTCCGGACCCCCGGGACGTGACGCGCCCTGAGAGACAGGAGGTGAAGCGCCGCCCACAGCAGCGTCACTGTCGCCATGCGATGGAGAGCGGGGGACCTGGTGCCCCCCTGCCTGTTCAGATAGGAGACCACTGTGGTGTTGTCTGAGCGAACCATCACGTGTCTCCCCTGCAGCTGAGGAGCAAAGTGCAGCAGTACTCTGTGTACTGCCTCCATCTCCAGCAGGTTGATGTGACGGGTTGAGTCCGACCAGCAGCCTCCTACAGAGCTCTGGCCGAGGACCCCGCCCCATCCTTCGAGCGACGCGTCCGTGAACACCTCCACGTGAGACACGCCGCAGGCTAGAGTCACTCCGTCCCGCAATAGACCCGGAGTGAGCCAGAACCTGATGTCCGAAGCTGCCACTTGGGGAACCCAGATCAGCCTCCCCCCGTCCCGGGAGGGGTGAAGCCTGAGGCGCGAGAACCACCTCTGAAATTTTTCTCATGTGGAGCAGGCCTAGCCGCACCACAGCATGAGCCGCCGCCATCATTCCCAGCAGGGACCTGAGGCGCCGAGCGGGGACTCTGGGGCCCGCCAGAACCTCCCGGGCCAGACGGGTAATATTCATCCGTCTGTCCACGGACAATGCAGCACGGAATGTCACAGAGTCTAGCTGCAGGCCGAGATAAATCATGCGTTGGGCTGGCTGCAGCTTGCTCTTCTCCCTGTTCACCACAAAGCCCAGGCGCTGTATGTGGGACAGGACCCAGTGCGTGTGGCTCACGGCCACTTCTCTGGATGAGGCCAGAATTAACCAGTCGTCTATATAGGTTAATATTCTTACCCCCGCGCGTCTGAGCGGCTCCAGAGCTGCTTCCACACATTTGGAAAAAGTCCGAGGCGCGAGTGCGTACCCGAAGCGTAGACGGCAGTACTCGTAATTCCTCTCTTCCACTGCGAAGCGCAGAAACCTCCTGTGTTCTGGCACTATGGGCACGTGGAAGTACGCATCTGTCAGGTCTATGGATGTCATCCAGTCTCCCTCCCTGACACACTCGAGGAGCTGCCTTGTGGACAGCATCCGAAACTGCCGTTTGGAAATGCACTCGTTTAACACGCGCAGATCCAGAATGGGACGCACCCCGCCTGACTTCTTTGGCACTAAGAAGTAAGGGGAGTACAGCCCCCTGGTGGCGTCCTGCGGGTCTACCTCCACTGCTGCGCCTCGACTCAGCAGAGAGGAGACCTCCGCTTGTAGTGCCTCTATCGATCCCCGTACCTGAGAGCGTACTGCCCGTACGCCTCGGAATGGTGGTGGCTTTCGGAAAAATTGCAGTGCGTAACCCCTGCGCAAAGTTTTCTCCAGCCAAATATTTGTCAGTAGGCCCTGCTCCCTCCAGATGCTGTAGAAGTCTGTGAGGGGCGGAACGGGAGCTGGAACACGAGACGTCACGGCCCCGCCCTCTCCTGGTGTTCCTAGCAGGGAGGGGGGGTGGCTGAAAGGGCCGGGGGGGCCCCTGCGTCACACCGTGAGCGCCGGGGGCGGTCACGTGTTCTGTAGGCCCGACGTCATAAGTACGGGACTGCTCACCACACGTGACTCGGCTGCTGTGCCCCCCCCTGGCTCTTGCCTCATGGAGGGGGGGGCGAGCCCCTGGAGTGGGAAACCCCGTGTTAGCCTCGTAGCTCGGAGATGCTAACATGCGTTCGGCCGAAGCACACACCTTATTACTCACCAGATCCCTCCGCCTGCCTCTCTGGGAGGGCCTAGCATGAACCCGTGAATCGGAGCTCGTGGCCCGCGTAGCGCGCTGCACGCCCTTCTCTGGGGGCTGCAGGCCTAGCGGCGCCACGTTATGTGCTCGAAAAGTACCACAAGCAGATTTCAGATCATTTGACATGTTACATACCCCCCAAATGAGACTCAGACAGCGAGTACTGATGAAATGCCGGTCGGCTTTTATTGAACGAATTCTTACCGCCCCGACCTCCTCTGCCATAGGGAGGTCGGCGGTGGGTACGTTGGTCCCGCGAGCCTCCCGTGTGTCTGTCTGGACCTGGGGGCCTCGTCGCTGGGGGACGATGAGCCACGGAGCGTGGATATGGCCCTGCCGGGCGAGCGCTCCCTGCCTCTGTCTCGGCTCCGCGCTGGAGGGCGGGCCTCGTTGCTAAATGCTGGGCTAGGCTAGCAGAGTCCTTAGTTGCGGTGTCCAGCCTAGTCATCAGGGTCTGCATCTCCGGACCG